TTTTTTTTTTTTTTTTTTTTTTTTTTTTTTTTTTTTTTTTTTTAATTTATATGTGGTGCTAAGAATCAAACCCACGGCTGAGCCATAACCCCGGCCCAGCCTTTTGTCTTTTTGTAAAATTTGTGACTTTTGTATGCAGCATGTAATCAGATTTCATTTTTTCCATCCAGTTTGATCATTACTGTTTTTGCCTTTTAGCAGGTACACTAAGAGTGTACTAATGATACCATAGCACATAATTATAACACCTTGAGATATTTTCCTTGTCCTTTTCTGTGTTAGGTAGAGCTTTCTAAATCTTGGCATGGTTTCATTTCTTGGCCACTATTCAGATATTGCTCTACTATCTTTCTCTTCTGTTCTTCTGGGTTTTCATTATACGTGAGTTAAATCCTTTTCTCCTATCCCTTATATCTTCTCATACTTGTGCATTTTCCATTTTTTTCCCTATCCACTCTCTTGTCAATCTGAGCATTTTTTCCAGTTCATTGATCTCTCTGTTGTGCCCAGTCTACTAAATTTGTTCATTAAATTTATGCTTTTATTTACTGTTTTTTTCCATTTCTAAGATTAAAAACTTTAGTTTTCTGATGACTCTTTAAAGACTTTAAATTTTTTTTTTTTAAATAGGGATCTATGACTTTTTTCCTCTTGATTTTTAATTACTTGGTCTTGTTTTCTAGTGGGTCTGGTAGGACTCTATATGTTTTATGTAAAAATGTATAGAAGCTTGGGATTGCATTTGGGTGGATCACTCTATTTTACCAAAGCTGATGTATTACCATTTTGCCCTCATTCCTAGGACATTAGTATACTATGTATGTATATGGTTTTTCTTCCCCAATAGGCCCTGAAATTAACTTTTTGTCTTGCTATCAATATGAGATTTCTAATTCTGTTTAACTTTGTAAGTTTCTTAATAGTTACTTTCGCTGTGATTTCTGTGTCTTTGGTGGATACACAGTTTAATGTTGAAAGTGCCTTGAGGGAGAGATACATCTGGGATATTGGTTCTTAGTTTTCTTTCACCAGGATTTCTGCTGAATCTTGGCTCCTTGGTATCCCTGAACTCAGCTTCCAACCTGTTTCTGTACTGTGCTGTACAGGTGATCCAGGAGAAATAGCTGTTAATGCAGAGTCACCTCACTTCATTTTCTTTCTTTCCAGAATCTTGGTACATCAAATCCTATCTGCCTTAGGTTTTTGTTTGTTTTGTTTTTCCAGAACCTKTTTATATCAACTTTTTTGGGTATTTTTGAAAGGAAGTTTTGTCAAACATCAGTTAATCCATCATAGCTTCAGGAATAAAAAGCCCATGATATCCTTTTCAATATAACAGTTATCCTAAACCACTTTTTTGTATGTTTTATATATGTCCAAGGACTTTGCTCTCTAATACGAAAAGTTTCTTTATTTCTACCAAAACTACTGGTCTTGAGTACTGTTTTTAAATTCTTGTTAATCATTTTCTATCCCACCACTTTTTTTCTGCTTCCATAATAGTTACTTCTTTTTATTTACTGCTTTCATTTTATTTTGTTCAACATGTTACCAGGTTTTATCACTGGTTAAATTCTGGAAAGATTAAGCACTAGTTTGTTTCACCTAAGTATATATTGGATTTTAAATGTTCTTTCCTGAAGGTATCTTTATGTATAAAAAATATTATTTGTATCTACTTACAAAAGAGATTAACACTGATTCTTTTTTTTTCTTTTCAGAAAATGGTGTAAATGGAACAGTAACATCAAATGGAGCAGACTCTCCCCGTAATAGAAAAGAGAAATCTTCATAATGAATTATAAACTAATTGATCAATGTCCCCAAAGAAATCTGCTTTTTACTATATCTTTCAGCACTAGAAATTTTTCTGTTCTTGAAAATACAGTTTGTGCTTTGATTCTTGCTATTGTACTGTTTCATGCATTTTTTTAAAAAGGGCATTTGAGGGGAGGATGATTACTGAATGAAAATATTTTAAAAATATTTTAGCTTAGACTAAGCTACCTGCCTTCAAAATAGTTTAGGGACCACCATTTGTTTTATTTTGGTGTTTTTTTGTTTTTTGTTTTTTTTTAATCTTTGAACATTTTTCTAATAATTTGGGGAGAAAAATATTTACAAAAATCCTACATATCAGTGAAACAATTTCTTGCTGTCACCAATTTTTTATAATAATAGCAAGGTGACCTATTCCAACAAGGTYGTATTTTTTTAAGTTATCTTTCAGGGTAAATGAAATACTATAAAGTCAGATGTCAAACTTTTAATATGTTTTCAGTGTTCTCTAATTTTTAGGAATTTTTGTAGCCTTTACACCTGGAAAAAACAATTTGTAAAATCACCAAAATAATTGTGTGCTTTATTTTATAAGTAGTGGCTATTAGTGTTACATCCCCATTTAAAAAAAAAATACATACTAATGGTTACAACATGTGGAGATTTATTGCCATATAGGATCAAAATATTAACATAAAAGTACTTGTGAGGTAAAATTTTTCTTGTGCATTTTCAACGCAAAAAATATTTACTATGAAGAAGAAAATCCAGCTTATATAGCCCTTTTGATATGTTTATTAATAATGATTCTTAATGGGGCTTGTCATAAGTTTCATATGCACAGCATCTTAGAAAAATACTGTTTAACCTGCAAACCCTTTTAAAAAATAATGCCTACTTGATTTATATCTATAAAAAGATGTCAGGTAATTATATTTGGAAAACTAATGCACTAACTATAAAGAAATTGAAAATTCAGGTGGATAAATAGTTTTACAAAAGACAGTGCTTTATGTTATAACTATAGCTTTGGTCCCATCTTTAATTGAGAAACATTTATCTGTATAAAACATATTTTTGGATAAATATATATATATATATATTTGTATCTCTACAGAAAGGCTCTAAAAAGCATTTGAGTAAAATATTTGGTTCCCTTTTCTATAATTATCCTTTAAAATCCTTATAGATATATCTGATTGTTTGTTTGTCTTTACATATAGTGCCCTTTTTGGTGTCTTCATCTTGTCCCCACTTCTCACTTCTGTCACCAGCTAATAAATGTTTGTGCCATTTTGGTGTAAAAGTTGCAGACTTCTCAGGTCTGTGGTTTAAGTTGCCATGCTGCTAGAAAGTTGTGCTTTCTCTTTCCAGCTGTTTACCTAATTCCTGGAAAAAAGTAGTAGCTCTCTGTAGCATTATGGAGTTTCAGCAGAACCAAATTTTTGCCATTAAAGACTGGCATTATATTGAACTATCCATTGAGAAATCAATCAAAATAAAAATTTTTACTTTCACAAGCTGCTTCCTGGACAATTCCTTCATTTAGTATATATGCTACTTCAGTATACAACCTCATTAAAATTTACCATTAGAAAAAGATTATTATTTCATAGAATATTTATGAGGGCTACTTAGAGGGGGAAAGTGGTTTATAACCAAATAAATTTGGGGACCATTTCTTTACTATGGGATTGTTTAAGTCTTAATACATAAATATGCTTTCTGGTACCCCAGGAATGTTAGCTGTGGAAATAAGCAATGTTTCCTTCATTTGTGGAATTTTCTTTTTATTGAACTAATAACAGCACTTATTTTCTACAGCATAGAGTATGGCTTCAGAAAAAGATAAGCCCTGAGTATGCAGTTAGACTTTGTGAGACACACATGCACACAAGTATAGTTGTAAGCCCTGGCCCCCCGCTCTCCATATCCCCTGAGGAAAGTCTTTCCTTACTGGCTTCCAGATCCTGCACAGAGACCACCACTCACCTGGACTCAGGTTGAACTTCAAAGCCTTGATAGGAAACACAGTACCACAAGCCAGAACAGTTGCTGTCTTCTCTTAGACTCTGACTTTGAAATAGTTGCTTTCTGGAATTCTTTTCTTCTAAAATGCTTTTCTTGTCTCTATTTTAGAATATGATCATCAAAGATCTTAACCACATTTTTTAAAAATTAGACAATCTTGCAAACCCTTTAAGTTCAAAACTATTCCTAGAGCAAAGCTGGTGTCAGTGAAGAAAAGGTAGAGAAATGTTTTGTTGCAAAGATATGATTAACAATAGCCCAATTCCCAACCCTGTATCTCCATTATGTTTTCAGTGCAAACTATTTCTGCTAATGGTCTATGTATGAAAAAAAGATTCTTTTTTTTATGTTTTTTTTTGTAGTTTTAGATGGACAGCATGACTTTATTTTGTTTGCTTATTTTTGTATGTGGTGCTGAGGATCAAACCCAGTGTCTCACATGTGCCAGGCAAGCATGCTGCCACTGAGCCATGGCCTCAACCCAAGATTTAAGTAAAATTAATTAAACTGATCACCTGTTTGCTTCTTTAAATGAGTGACTCTAACCTGGAAGTTTTGCATATTTGCTAACTTATATGCTTGTAGTGCACAAAAAAAATTTGATTTTTGAGAGGTAGTATTGTAACTTCAAATATGTATGTATGATTAATTTACATATTTAAATTTTAGTTGGATCTCAGTCACATTTCTGAAAAATATCCAGCAATTAGAATACCAAAAGGAAATTCAATTTGGCAAATTAAGTTAGAAATGTCAAAAATAAATAAATAAATATAATGTAACCTGGGAGAAAATTCTAGGAGGTAATGCTTAACAATGTTTTTACAAAAAAAAAAAAAAAAAAGGCAGGTTTGGAAATTTCAAAGTAGACATTAGCAAGTTCGGGAAGAGGAATTTAAACTGGAARCTCGGGACCTGAGGAAAGTGAGTGGGTTTGCAGTCTGTGGGTGCTTGAGAAAAGTCTTGGATATACTGCTTATTCCACTAAAATAAAATAAGAAGCAAGAAGACAAGCTCATAATGTTAGTGCTATTAGTCTGGTGACAATATTTCTTTAAAAATTAGTGTTTATCCAGGATGGGGCTAGGGTTCAGCGGTAGCATACTTGCCTGGCACGTGTGAGGTACTGTTTTTTGAGTGTTTAGCCACTCAGAGAAGCCAACACACCTGCTTGGTTCAGTTCCATTTCTTTCAGACAATAGAGTGTTACAATGACTAATCTGTTTTGTGTTTAACTGTGAATTGCTGTACAAAAAGTTGTACTCGGTATATGACACACATTGAAAACTTTTCTCAATAGCTGTTGGAAAAGGTTAAGCCAATTTGTCTACCTTAACTATTTAGGAAAAGATCATTAATGTATTTGTTCAGGATTGGGGGGAAAAAAACATTTTGGGTATCCTGAAAACAAGCAAAATACTTAAATAGTAAGAGCCTTAGATCCATGACCATCTCATTTATATCAGTATTTTGATTTTAAGTTGCCTGAAGAAAAAAAAATAATATTTTGAAGATTCCAAAATTTCAACCAAATGCTAAATAACATCATTGATTTAATCGATCGTTGATAATTAAACAGTGGTAATACTAGCTAACCAAAATTCAAATCCTGACTTCACTAGTCAGCTCTATGTAAGTATCTATGCCATAGTTTCCTGTGATAAAATAATCTATTCTCTAGGATTTTTAACTTCACAGTGGTTCCAAAGCCTACCCATACAACCATTCTGTGTACCACTCAGTGATAAACTTGTCTTGTGTTCTGGGCTTATTGAAGGAAAGCAAGGCTAAGCTATGATATTTGGTAGGTGTGTGAAATGTACCTTTTACATATGTATGTATTTTCAACTTAAAATGGGCTTACTATGAGTTAAAGAGCATCTGTAACAGCTCCCACCCCACAAGGTAATACTGGGAACTGTGACGATGTATATCAGGCATGCATAGCCCCCTGCCTGGTATCTATCAAATGTTAGCTGTCTGCTCATCCAGTGGTTTTGACAGGCACAACAGAAATTGTCAGTAGTTACTACTTCTCCTGTGTGGTTGAAGTTTCACAACTTTGTTGAGCATTCATTCATACTTTGCAGTGCAAGGTCAGGGTTCTGTGGCTGCCACCTTTGAACAGGTGAGCCGATCAAAACCCATGAAATGTTCAAGCCAACATTACAGCCAGCAAAGTTACACTGAATCATTGGAAGACAGCAGGCATGCTTAACCAGCACAAAAGTTCATAAACCTAACATCCAAATGTGTTCTGCATCTTTTATGTGACATGATAATCATAAAAGTAAATGCCACGTATACTTTCTAAAAAATCATTTTTAAATCAGGTATGATTAATGAAGCCACATTTCCATTTAGATGATGTTTATAACTTCTAGAGAATTTTTAGCTGCTTGGAGCTGTCATATTTTCTAGTGGGAAGAATCAAACTCCTAGTAAACATTACATGATAATATTTATCAAGAAATTTGAACTGATCTCAAAAAATGCCCTAGAAATTACACTTGTGCAAGTGGAACGCCTGCTTGTGATGTGTGGGATATACACATCAGTGTGTGAGTCACGTTCAAGAACAGAATCTGGAAACTAAGGTCCTTACTCTCTTATCTGCTTGCTGGATTAACCATTTTTTTCTTTATCAAATGTGAGAAACTACAATAAAGTTCTTTATGAGAACAATTAGAATTGAATTTTTCAAAAATGCAACTTAACCAAACTAATTTAGGTCCTAGTGAGCTCATGCACTAGTAGTCCTTTTCTATTTCTTGCTGTGGATTCACTACAAATAATAAGACACAGGTTATTCGTAACTTAAAAGGCAAAATATCTTTCTATACTAAGTATTATAAGAAAAATGAAAAATCAAGTGCAGTTTCTAAAGAGTGGATACAAATTCATAGGATTAAGGCCTGAAGGGCTAACAAGAATGTCAGAATGATTGGTGATTTACCTATATCCTATGCGGAAAGCTTCAGAAAACTCAAAATACACAGGGCTGGGTTCAACTTCATCTTCAAAGAAAACGTGTGCCTACATTCATCAGTCATTCGAAGTGAATAAAAAGCCCAGTTCAAACCTAAAAGTAATTTCTTTGTTAATATGGTGGGTATATGCAGAAACACTGGCTCAAAAAAATGAGAATGATGGGGGCGGGGATTACATTTCTGAAGTGAGAAACATTCTGTAGTGATTTTTCACTGATATTTATAGAACACATATCTAAATATTGGCTATTATATAGAAATTTCAGGCTCATTTCAGCTATTATATAGCATCTTAATTTCAAATGGCCTCTGGGATTTTTTCCCTTGGGTTTTTTTCTTCTTTAACGAGTATTTAAACAGAATAAAAAATTTAAAAAGCAAAGTCATCTTGTGGAATAGCTTCAGGTTTAAGTCATCACTGTTCTTGTTTTACTGTGTTTTGATGAGCGCCTACGTTCTAATTACAGTCCAGCATCTCTTGTTTAGCAGGCGATGCCAATCATACCCATTATAGATTGCTGTAGAATAAGTGCCTGTAAGGGGCGGCTGCAATCACTCCCCTCATTTTCCACTGATGCTCCATCCATGTCAGCGCTCTGGTCTCCAGAGGTAAGAGCAGCTGTACTCGCTGTATTCATTAACCCAGCTGCCTTTGACATTTGTTTCTTTTCCCTTGCCTAATGTCACAAATTCTCTACTTTGGGCCTGAGTTTTTTTAATTGATTACTACAGCTGTTTCTTTTTTTTTTTTTAAAGGTTTTTTTTAAAATATTTATTTATTTTTTTTAGTTCTCGGCAGACACAACATCTTTGTTGGTATGTGGTGCTGAGGATCGAACMCGGGCCGCACGCATGCCAGGCGAGCGCGCTACCGCTTGAGCCACATCCCCAGCCCTACAGCTGTTTCTTATACAAAATCTGCACTTCCATCTAAAATGATGCTCTTATATTTCATTTTGAGATTCAGAATTCCAAAGAGAAGACTTGTACGTTACAATGACTCAATGGGGTAAAATGGCCCATGTTGAAAGCCAAGTTGAAAGCAGGTTCAGAAATTCACTCACTGATCTGAAGGTTTGGCTTTAAAAGCACTAGAAACAACTTTCTTTTTGGTATTTCCACTCTGCTAAAAAAACTGAAGTTATCAATTGCATAAGATTTTAAACTTAGTTATTCTCATTTCATGATTTAGTTTTAATGGATTTCTACCCTGAAATGCTCTGACTTACCATTAGCTCTGCAAATGTCTGTTCCTGACAGGATGGTTTACATTAGTACACTTCATCTCCAGCCCTCCCTGCATACACCTTTCCATCTGAAAGAAAAGACTTTGTGAAAGAATATTTGCACTTTTATACCTTAGTTGTTACAGTTTGGATCTGGATTGTCCCCCAAGGGCTCATGTGTTGAAGACTTGGTCCCTAATACAGAAGTGTTCAGGGGTGGGGCTTTGGGGACGTGATTGGATCCTCTGATCTCATGATAAATTAATAATTTGTTAGTA